CTATGTTGCCCAGGCTAGTCTCAAATTCTTGGCCTCAAGTGATCCTTCCCCTCAGCCTCCTAAAGTGCTGGGATTGCAGGTGTAAACCATCCTGCCCAGCCTCTGCATCTCTTCTGTATGTTTAAAATTATTTCAAAATAAAAAGTTAAAAGTAAAATCTAATCTATCGGTCTATTTTGTTCTTTGAATGGACCTTTTATCCAACATGATTTTGTAATCTCATGCACTGGTCATTTGGAAAATATTGGTTCATTTGGTTATATAAATTTTTCAAATGTTACGCATTTCATTATACGACATGAAAAACTCAAAATCATTAATATCATTTCTGATCTCTTCAGAAGTCTTTAAGAATTAGGAAGCTGTTAGCCTTATAGTGACAGCATCAAGTTTTCTAAAATTCTAGTTGCCACTTAAAAGCTCAAATTTTATTTATCATTGGCAACAAACACCAGGTTGTTTTCCTTGAAGTGACAGGCTTGCTTTGTTCATTTTCAAGAAAACACCTTGCAAATACGAGAGACTGAGTAACCGGTTTGGCCGTAAGTCCTCCTTTCAAGTAAAAACAGTTTTCTACGAAAGCAGCAGCTGCTGTAGTTCACGGTCAACGGCACAAGCACTTGTCCTTGAGACCCTCGTCGCACTCTGCCACGCCGCCGCCGTGCTCTGTGCGCGCGTCCCAGTTCATCACATTCGATGTTGGAAAGACGTGTACTCAGCGGTTGAGATATGACCAGTTGACAGGTTTCACTGCTTCTTCGAGGACATTCTTGAGAGCAACTGGCCTGCTCTCTCTCAGGTCACCCGTGCGGCAGCAAACACGGCGATGCCCACTGGTACGTGCCGGTGGTTTTGTGCTCAGGTGCTGCAGCTTTACCCCGTTGCTCTGTGTCTTCGTGCAAACGTCGACACAGTGGAAAAGGCGAATAATGCCCCAGTGTCATTATGAAAATAGTTGTGACCTCCCGTGCCCCGGAAAGTGTCTCAGGGACTCATGGTCTGTGGACCTCATTTGGAACTGCTGTTCCTCTAGAACGCAAAGCTCCGTAAAGGCAGGATTCTCGTCTGCTTTGCTCACGGCTGTGCATCCCTGTGCCTAGAACGCTTGGCACAAAATAGAGCCAGTATTTATTATACGAATGAATGTGTAAGTGACTGAATAAATGAATGTGGTAACATCTGTAATTAGTTTCAGCTGCTTGGAAGTAGAGCAATAAAAAATCCAGGATATTTGTAGTTTTTGGTATAATTAAAAAGTTTACAGAATGCTAAATATTTAATCAGGATATAGAAGAAATTATTTCTTTTGGCAAAAGCACGTAACTGTAGGGCTGGCAAAAGCAGCAGGGAACTTTCAAAACCACACCAACAGCGTGTGCACGGGAAAGCCACCGCCGTTAGCGAAGGACGCAACTCCTGAAGACGCTGCCTAGGACCTGGAAATGGGGGCAAAGTCAGGAAAGGAAGACAAGACGCCAACGGCTGCCACTTCGTGTCACTGTCATTGTCTCACACTTGTGTCTTATGTTTCCGACCCACAGTGTCCGGGGACATTCCACATTTGGGAGGAATTACGTGCAAAAGTGAACAGGGGATTAGAAAGCAAGGTGGGACACACAGGAATCGATGAAGGGTAATTAAAACATTTTAAGTTTCCAGCACTAAATTAAGATAACGTATTTATCGCAGAAAGAGACCTGAGGACCACGAGTATGATTCACAGGGCGTGAGTGCTACAGACGTGGATTTTAGCGGAGCCAGTATTCGCACGATAACCTGCTGCGTAGCAGGTGAGCGAGTTAGTAAGACATACCGGTTGGCAGGGAGGTGCCACAGAGCTTGCTACTTCTCGGTGAATGAGAGTTCGATGAACACACCACCTTCGGCTGAAGCATCAGTCGTTATTTAGCCACTGCGGAGGCACTTCCGAACCTCCCCGCGCTCCAGGAGGCAGCGCTACAAAGGGTCTATCAGCCGCCGAAGGTCTGGTCATGAGTTTAATGAACACACACATCACCTGCTCTACAGTTTCTGGTCCTGGTTCTGCCACCTGGCAATTAGCTGGCAAAAGGAAAATTCCTGAACGCTTTTATAGTTCAGTTTCTCCCTCCTCCTTTCCCCAAATTCAGGAATACTCAGAGTACAAATGTTTGCAAAATATTTTGTGTCCCTCGAAAATACTGAGTTAGGGGTAAGGAGTTGTATGTTGGATTCGCCCAGAAGATAAAACATCCCAGTAAACTTTAAATTGCTGACACTAAGATACAAGTTTTTTCTGCCTGATAGAAAACCTTCAAAGTGCTTCCCAACGTCAGCGTCTATGTGGACCCCGA